TTGTACGAAAGGTGGATAAATCGCTATCCGGTGGATAAGTCCCTATCCAGCGGATAAATTTTATCCGGAGTGAAAATCGCGTTGTACGAAGCTTGGATAGCGCTATCCAACGGATAAAATGCACTATCCGTTGGATAAATTTATCCGAGGTCCGGAGGTAGTTTAAATCCACTATCCGGCGGATAAACTCAAAGTTTGAAGACAAAACAATGTGTATTTCATTTAAAAAGGATTGCTATTGTGATAGAAATGGACAAATACCGTTTAGAAATCCCTTTCTTGACACTAAATAAACATGGAAACTTACTTATGACTTCTCTTGCTCTTGACGTACCGAGCTCACTTTGAGTCACTTGCCCATAATAAATAATGCCATGACTTTGCCATATTTTATGCAGACCTGTGTCAGTGCTTAAACGTTACGTTTTCTGGCTTTTTTCCTTCTTTTTTTCTGTTATATAGCTCGAAAACAAGCAATAAAACTTTCATCAAATGAGTTCCCTTCAACGCCAAACAAATATAGCTGCATGTAAATAGACCAGGGTTGCCAGTTTGGCGTTTAATAAAAGAGCCAAATTTCTCTATTTTGGCTTCTTTTGACTTCGTTTGGCTACTAAAAATTTCGTTTGGCTTCTTTTTATTTTTTGGCTCTTTTTGGCTTCTTTTTGAATAAATACTGAAGTAAGCAACTTTTCAAAAATAGTCTGCATCCATCAGTAAAAGCAGGTAAAAGTTAGTTATAAACTCTGCTATGTTCGATCACACTATCCGGGATTCCAGATGTACGTAAATATCCGATCGGAACTAGTACCCTCTCCCCTGGCTTACGCGGTTCGCCCCGAACGGTGGGAAAACGAAAATTAGAAAATACTCGTTTTTTCTTTACTATTTTTCGATCCGTAGTTGACGAAAACGAACTTCCATTAGAACCAGAAATATAAAGTTAATTAAAGAACTGTCTACGTCCTCACTGCTACCTTGATAACTAAATAAAGTTTGAGTTGGAATTCTTAGTCACTATGTCAAATATAAATGTACGTTATTTATAGCGATTGTTTTTATGGGTATATAATTCGTACAATTAGGTTAGCCCCAGTCCCCACTCTAAATTTCGATTTTGTCTTCTTTTGGCCGGATTTGGCTACTTTTTACGTATCATTTGGCTCTTTCGGGCTCAAACCACCTGGCAACCCTGAAATAGACAACAAGGCACCGAAAGTCGAAAAAATTTGTTCGCTGGCCTTGATCAGCCAATCAAATCTTGCGAGAAAATGTTCTTAAAATTGTTTTGAATGACGTGAAAGGTCAAAGAACAAATATTCGGACAGTATATAAAATATTAAAAACTGAATCAACGTACTGAAACAACAAAACAAAACTCGCAGTCTTTGCTATTGCCTTCGCATAAAGAAGCCAAAAATCTTTTAAAGAAATATAGATAAGTAGATAGCAAACTCTTCACTGTGGGAAAACGAAGTATTGCAACGATTGGACGAGAAAAACTCCAAAATATAAACATGAACAAAAAACCTTTATTGCAAGTTGATAGTTCAAAGGTTAGTGGAATTCACAAGTTATACGAAGATACTACAACAAAAGTTTACAAATACCTAGCAACAGCTGACGTTGAGATAAGAAATTTCAGGAAAATCCGGTTTTCTCCGGTTAAAATTAAGGTTATCCGACGGATAGCTATCCACCCTGCTATCCGTACTTAGTACAACGCATTTTTATTCGGCAGATAGCTATCCATTGGATAGGAGATTTATCCATTGGATAGGACTTATCCACTGGATAACTTATCCACCTTTCGTACAACCGGCCCCAGAAGCGTAACTCCAATTTCAAGTGAAATCTGCGAGCGAGAAAGACGCCTTATTGAAGCTTTGTGTTATGGTATGTACTGTTTTGAAGAAAAATATGCAAGTAGGTTGTCATATTTCGGTCGTACTTAAGGAGGCTCCCTACAGTTCCGTGCGGGATGTTCGCGGGACAAGTACGTGAACTATCTCACGCAACTGCATGATCAAAACAAAACAAAAATTGACCATGCTTTTTTTAAAAATAAAGCTATTTCTGAAAGGTTTCTAATGGAAAAAAGAGTTGAATAATACTTCGTTTTGAGTGCCAAATCACTTGCGAGTCTATACAGCAATTCTACATATGATACGAATAATAACTAGACCAAAAAATAGCTACGAAACCATATTTTTTAATTTTTTTATACACTGTCAACTGACTCAACTGTAAAACATTTGCAAAATTGCATACAAACGTTTAAAAAGTTGTTTACTTCTCAAGAAAACGTTCACGTTTTTAGTCGTGTTTCTACAAAATTAAAGTGATTATATGTAAACAGAAAAATATTTCAGTTTCATAGCCTAATTGTTCATTGTTAGCAAAAAGTACAAAACCAAACATGAAACAAAAAAAAACACGTCCACCTGTTAATAGGCTGTTACAGCTCATATATTGAGTAAACGGCAGGATTCAATTAGCTTCAACCTTGTTTTCATCGATTTAATCCTTCACAATAATCCTTGGCTGTCCATAGCACTCAAATAAATCGAAAAATTGACAAAAACAAAACAGTAAAAACAACATTGCGGCTCGATTTTGCTGAATGAAAACTCGTTCTGCGCCCGCGTACAATCTTTTACTAGTCAGCGACGCTTTTCAATAGGAGAATTTCTCGAGTTACACGAGGCTATTTTCTAACTTTATTTTCATTTTACTCATTAGTTTCATCGGTGACCTATCTTCAAATTTTGACCACGAATTTATTTTGCGGTAAATTTTATAAATTTCAAATTTTAAAAAAATCGGTAGTGTGGAAATTTCGCAATAAATTTTTCGCTTTTAAAAAAATCGCACACCACAGAATTTTTTTAAACTTTCACCACAGTTGCAGAGCATCATTCCTTATTGATATATGAAATAAAAAAGATAGATCACCGACATCGTTTTTGAGATAGCGGCACATTTATGGGTTAAATTGGAAGTCTTTATGCTGTCGTCATGTTGCCATGGGAACATTGACATCGTCGAAATCTAGTTCGAAATATTCCTTAGGTGACCAATATTGCCACCAAGTCGAAAAGAATTCGCGTTCTGCCATAGGCAGCCCAGCAAAATGTGTAAAAATGCATTAAACGCTTAAAAATACGTATAAAGTTCGTCACAATTTGCTATCAAGCGATTTATTTGTGTAGCTCATTCGCTTGATAGCAAATTGTGACGAACTTTATACGTATTTTTAAGCGTTTAATGCATTTTTACACATTTTGCTGGGCTGCCTATGGTTCTGCACGAATAAGCCTGTTTTACGGAATTATTGCTTAAACAAGAACAACTGTAGGGAGCCACCTTAAAGACAATTAATTTTGAAAATTGTTTACGATAAGAACCTTTCTTGAATTTGTCGTATTTTTTTCGGCTGTTGTGCTCAAAAATTATCTCGCAAGTTTGTTTATAAAACTTTATATTCATACATAAAAATTATCTCGCAAGTTTGTTTATAAAACTTTATATTCATATATAAAAATTATCTCGCAAGTTTGTTTATAAAACTTTATATTTCAAACTCCTATTTCACGAAACACTACAACCAAAATATGGCAACCTATTTGGCCGTTTTTTTGTTCAAAATAGTGGATACACAAGCTTCATAAGGGTGCTTTCCTCGGTTTGCAACAGGTCTGTCGCAAGTTGTTGAAAACAGCATTGCTGCAGCTCTGTCACAGCAGCTTTTAACAGACCTGTTGAAAACAGCATTGCAGCAGCTCTGTCACAACAGCTTGTAACAGACCTGTTGAAAACAGCATTGCAGCAGCTCTGTCACAACAGCTTGTAACAGATCTGTTGACAGGCCGTTGCAGGTCTGTCAGAACAGACAGGTACAAGGCGAGCGAACGCATCCAGATATCGGCTTGTTGACAACAGGATTTAACAGATCTGTTGCAGATCTGTTCCGACTTGCGCGTTTCTGGCTGTGTAATCGTACCGTGTAAATGGGCCTTTACCATGTTTTTATGGTATCCGGTTATGGATTTGGCCAGAGCCCCTCGTCGCACCGCGCGTAAGAAGGGCTCTGGGTACGAGAATGTTCTAATGCTCTGATCACGCGTGTTTCAAAATGACCGCCATTGTTTGGATGTGCAGAGTAAAACGTGTGATTGTCACTTCACGTTGCTTTGTTTTAGCCACAAGATATTTCTACAATTGCAAAAATCACTCAAAGGTATGAGTAAATTATGTAATGAAAGTATTAGTCTACACAAAAGGCTCTAATGAACTCGTTAAGAATTATCAACAAATATGTACAGTTGCAGTATGGCGGCAAATGTGACTGTATTGTGTATTTGTTTAGAAAACGGGAGGAAGCATTTTTCACTGTAATAATATACATGACAATCACAGCACACAGAAATATCACACAAATTGTGTGATATTTCTGTGTGCTGTGATTGTCATGTATATTATTAAAGTGAAAAATGCTTCCTCCCGTTTTCTAAATATATTAGAGGCTATACACTGTTTTTTGGGGGGTTTAAATATACGAAGTGACTATATGACCGGCAGCCGGTCACGGTTTATCAAATACTAAATGGCCGGCAGACTAGTGACTATGTTAAAGTTGAATTTTTATAAGATAAACCTATCCCCAACCCCAAACCCTTTTCTAACCCTAACCCCTAACCCTTTGAGAGTTAGAAAAGTCGGAAAAAAAAGTTTAAAAATTTTAAGAAAAAAACAGTGCTAAGTCAGACAAAACACATCCCGACCCCGACTGCGCTTAACTTTCCGCACGCAGCGCCTTTGCCGTATGAGCTAACGGCAAGCTCGGTAAAAGTTAACGCAAACAAAAGTTTTTATATTCAACTATAGTCACTAGACTGCCGGCCATTTAGTATTCGATAAACCGTGACCGGCTGCCGGTCATATAGTCACTTTGTTAAATATAAATCTGTTAAAAGTAATACAACATGATGAATTAAATATTTGTCATTTATATTTGTTTCTTTCTCTGTGTATAAAGGACAAAGTCCATTAATAACTAAAATAACTAAAGTTATTCCGAAAACGGTTTTCGGAATAACTTTAGTTTAACGTGTGCATAGTTACAGTACACAAATTATTAAAACTATAGTTATAATTTAATTTTTTTTCAGCAGTAATAATCAGGGGTGGAAAAAGTATCAGATCGTGGGACCATTGGTCCCAGAAACTTTTTGAATTCTCAGAAAATTTCTTTTATTTTGTAATAATTTAGATAAAAAAAGAAATTCAAAGGGAAAATAATAGAGCGATAGTGTATATTAAATATATAAATGCAAATGCATTTTTAGCCAATTTGGCACACCTGATTTTCAAAATTTTCTGGGGGATCTTCCTGGTACACATGTAAAAACACTCCGGCACGGGCTTTAGGACAAATTCAATTGAACAACAATAGTATTCTATCTAAATAGCAGTTAAAATAAAGTGTACAGCACCTGAACTGTTCAATATCTTACTTCTGTATCCATAAAACATTTACATATATGCAAATGCTCTATATTTTCAGAACCCGCCATATTTATTTACATTAGAGCCCAAGCTTTCGCCGTTTCACGGTTCACACGAAATATTACGTCGGTGATTTTCACTAATAATAAGAGGGTAGGATCATCCAATTGTTCAATCGTTTGAAGTGCGAGGAAACCATGCTTCCATATATGGCACAAACGTGTCCCCAACTTCTTATATGGCACAAACGTGTCCCCAAAATTATTTTAACGAAGCCGTTATGATGTCATAAGATTCCTCCCGCTCGGAACGATTTGAACAGGTCACGTGGTACAGAACCCAGACAGCTGATTGGGTTAGCGAGTGACAATGCCCACTTTAATCCTACCCTCTTATTATTAGTGAAAATCACCGACGTTAATATTCCGTGTGAACCGCAAAAGTTTGGGTTCTAATGTAAATAAATATGGCGGATTTTGAAAATATACAGCATTTGCATATATGTAAATGTTTTATGGATATAGAAGCAAGATATTGAACAGTTCAGGCGCCATACACTTTATTTTAACTGCTATTTAGATAGAATACTATCGTTGTCGAATTGAATTTGTCCTAAAGCCTGTGGCTCAGGTTGATGCAATACTGATGAAAACAGGATTGAACAATGTTTTGCTGCCCACATTGTTCATAGCTGTCAACAATATTGAACAATATTGTTACACCCGATTCAGGCTCAACAACATTGTTCAATATTGTTGACAAGTGTGAACGTGGGCAGCAAAACATTGTTCAGTCCTGTTGAGCAACAGGCTCGGCGTTTTTTGCTGTGTAGTCCCCCCTAGCAATGGCCTTTTGCATCTGTAATCATTATCTTCTAAGGATCCGAACCTTGATGCAGTGTGGATTATAACGGTCAGCAGTCGGCTATATGTGGAACAAAAACACTGATGAATTATTTTTTTTCTGTACAGACATGTTGACCGATCAGATAGAATACACAGTTTTCAGTTAAATTAAGCACTGTTCAAAAAGCATGCAAGAAAAAGAACTCAAAACGTTTTATTGCATGACTTCACTACGTGCAACAAACATGTATGGTACCAACTTTATGTACCAGGCATGTAGAAAATTTGACAACAATACAACCCTCGAAATTCAACTATTTTTGCCTCGGCAAATAATTGCCGAAGCCTTTCGATAATTTTCGAGTTTGCCTCGGCAATTTTTTTTGCCGAGGCACGCAATGAAATCACCTTAAATTCCTTCGGCAATTACTTCGGCACCCTTCGGCATTCATGTCGGCAGTTAAAGTAAAGTACATACAGAAATTATTGTAAACAAATATTATAACGAGCGTAGGTTCTGAGACTTTTGACGTTCGACAATTTGTTGTTATTTTACAAATTCCTGATTCAAAATTTAAAAAGTTAGTGGTAATTTACAACCAATTGTAAGAAAGAATAAACTTGACGGTAAAATCACACGACAGTCTAAAAGATAAAACAAAGTTTCTCGACGTACCGTCTTTAAACCATCAAGATTGTTCTTTATTTCAACCGAAGACGACGCTGCATGAAAAGCTCAAATTTAAATATTTTGTAAAGTAGCTATGAATGAAATCTTCTGTTGTTCACCCAACGTCGATGACAACAATTCGAACAAAGAAGTGATACAAAAAACGAACACTGTAGTTTGTATATTTAAGAAGAAAAAAAAGAACAGAAACTGTAGTTTGTAAGTTAAGGAACAGCGGGTGGAATTGCCTCGGCATTTTTTTGCCGAGGCAAACTATGAAAAATCGTAACTTGCCTCGGCATTTGCGTCGGCAATTGCCGAGTGCCGAGGCGAATTTCGAGGGTTGCAAAAGGGACCAAGAATTTTTCAGTTGCATGGATTGTTGGGACTGCTTACCAAAAGTTAAGTATGATCGGTATTCGGTCATGATTGGTCATGTGGGAAGTGATCAGCATGACCATTCAATGTAAATATTGAAAAGGTGGCCGACCATTACTAGCCAATGTTCGAGCAACTGCACACTTAGACCTAAGCAATATTGTTATAATCCACACTGCCCTGATGCATGTTATCAAAATTTGTTTTATGTTATATCCCTAAAAGTATTCTTAATTTAATTTAAGATTCTCAGTGTACTGAAATTCTTTTCTGTTAAAACATAGCTTGACAACTTGTTAGTGTCACACGGTTATAGTGTCCGAGTGTCAATTTAGTTGATTATTTGCAGAATATTTTCAATGTTTTCTTGCAGTCCCAGTTCTAAAGTAAAATATTTTTTCCACCCCTGCTGAGTATAAAAATTTTACATTGGTCTCTATTTTCCTAAGACATTGCTCAACATTCTCATGCACCACTGATCATGGCTCTAATAATATCAAAGGCCACATAAAAAATAGTGCGATGAATGTCCTTTAGTTTTGGCTGTTTTGCCAAAAGTTGGGTGGGCCGTGGGCAGGCAGTTTTTTCTCAAAAAGATTTAGATCAAATAAACACATGACAAGGTACTTTCAAGACTGCTATACTGCATGGACTGCTACAATGTTTAGTGACACAGTCAAAACAAGATATATTTGGTTAAAAAACAGACAAGGAAGCTGATATATGAAGTAGTTTTTAACATTTATTTATATTTGTAAAAACCATGGGGACAACAGGAGTGCAAAAAATAATAAAACATCATAACTGGCAAAACATCAGAACATCGATGATATATGATCTATGAGCAATCAATCTCATATTTCCGCCGTCTTGACTTCTTGACGTGTTGCTGACTGGAAGAGAATTCCATCAGTTCCGCTGTATGAGCTTCTGGACAAATAGCGGCTAGTAGGATGCAAGATTGAAAAGGATATTGATGTATAAACATTGTCTATTGTAAATTTAGAAAAATCTGTGAGTGCAGTTCATGTTAATATTCATAAAGTACTTATTCTCTTGAAATTGTGGACGGAAAGGATTTTCCTCTCTCCTTTGTGTTCGTCCCTTGTATGCGCGTACAATGTGCATATATAATTATGCAGTACTGACTGAAATAAAATGTTTGAATGATACATTTTCTTTTCATAGCTTGTACCTAGTTTACAGAAGCTAACTCGACGTTTTATAACCCCTGTTGTACCACCTGTGTTGGCACTTTCTGTATTTGGCTGGAAAAGTGAACCGAAAATGGAGGTAACAAAATCAGAGCCAGAAGAGGCTGAGGCTGAAGCTGTGAAACATGCTGATGAACTGTATCGTTCAAAAGAAGATAAAGAAAGCAATGAAGTCGAGGTTGTGAAAAGTTTACACGCCTTTCTTACACAGTATAAAGAAATTGCCAATCCTGAATTATTGTGGAGATTAGCCAGGGCTTCTCATGATCTTGCAAAGCTTTCAGTTACTGATGAAACAAGTAAAAAATCTTTAATTTATGAGGCACACGAATACGCAAAACGGGCATTGGCAAGTGGTGGTGAAGAAAATTTCGCTTGTCATAAATGGTATGCTATCACATTGAGTAATGTAGGAGATTACGAAGGAACGAAACAAAAAATCTCAAATGCTTATGAAATTCAAAATCATTTCAAAAGAGCAATTGAGCTAAATCCATTAGATGCCACCTGTTATCATTTACTTGGAAGATGGTGTTTCACTGTTTCTGATGTTCCCTGGTATCAGAGAAAGATTGCGAGTGCTATATTTGATACACCACCTTCCTCATCATATGAAGAAGCCATTGATTACTTTGAGCGAGCGGAACGACTGGATCCTAGTTTTTACAGTATGAATCAGTTGATGATTGCAAAAGGTTATCTTAATCTAAGTAAGAAAACAGAAGCCCGCCAATGGTTGGAAAAACTTGAAAAGTTTGATGTAAAAACAGAAGAAGATAAAACAGCGGTGGATGAAGCAAAAGAACTGTTAAAGAAATGTTGACGACATATAGGTATAGTTCTAGGTATATGTCACTTCTACTAACACTACTGTGTGGTTCAACCCTTTGAACCATTAATGACTTTGTATGGACCCAAAGTTTAATCTTAGTTAATGAATAATTACGTTATTTCTGGACCTTGTTAACATATTTCCTCATAATAAAATTTGCATCCGATAAGATATTAATTTGCACTTGATATATCACTACAACAGGTGAGAAAATTGTCTGAACATGCGCGAAAACAGCGCGTCGTTGTTTTCTGTGGGAAAATATATGTGTTTCCACTTGGTTGATTTAAAAACGAAAAACCATTTTGCAGCTGCTGTTTGTGGCCACAAATCACCACAGCAATTGGATTTACTGGAAAAAATGTTGCTGTAATACTTTGATTTTCTTATTACCAAAAACAGAGCAAAATAATGCGTTCAAAATGTCGTCTATAATAGCTTCCATAGAATGTGAAATTCAAACCAAAAATACCAACACTTCTGGATTTTTTACAAAGCCAATAATTTGACACCGACTTGAAAATGCTTTTAAAGTTTAAACTTTGTTTCAAATTTTATGCTCAAACATTATTTGCCATCAAAGCACACTTCATGGAAGAAATTTCATTTTCGGCCATGTTTCATACAAGAATTTCCTGATTACGACAAGTAATTGTGGTCTTGAATGCTTTGTCGTTAACGTTTAAGTCTGCTATCTTGCTTTTATTTTTACTCTACTGCAGTACGACAGACAGGCTGACGAAATCTGGGTTTTTATATTTTTGTGTGTTTTCATGTTGTGTACTCAGGTGAATATAATGTTTTTGTTGTTACTCTAAGTGTATATCCACACCGGGCAGGTTGAAAAGTTAGCCTGACCACGGTGGGAATCAAACCCGCGACCTTTGGAATACTATAGTCCAATGCTATGCCAACTGAACTACGAGGTCAAGTCGGTTCGAGTGTGTGGTATTTCGGAACTAGTATCCCAACGGTCGCGGGTTCGATTAATCGATTCCCACCGTGGTCAGGCTAACTTTTCAGCCTGCGGTGAACCCTCAGAGTAACATCAAAAACATTATATTCACCTGAGTACATAACATCAAAACACACAAAAGGCTGCCACGTCCCCAGACGCTGGTAAAAAATTTCATGCGAGTCACTATAGACCCATTGCACTGACGTCACAAATCCTTAGAGTGTCCTCCAGATGCTCCGTATAAACAATATCCGTTCGGGTACAACAACCACATACAGCGCAAAAATTAACCATTTTAATACAAAATTATTATAAACTTTTACAAAATTTGCTTTGTTTACAAAAGTTATATTATGCATAGATTGCTAATTTGTCCTCCAGATGCATCGTCACCGGCGCTGTGACGTCATGTGCAATGGGTCTATATGAAATGTTTACATGAAGTAGTGCATCGCGACCAACAAGCGCAGGGGTTTATGGGCTTGAGGCAGCGACAATTGAGGAGCGCCTGGGAGATCTTGTGCCGATTCTTGCAAAATTCGTCTGTTTCTTGCAAATCGTGGGTTTTCGACAGTTTGTGGGCTTTTTTCGCCATTTTTCTGAGAAAATAACATTTCAATTTGTTCAATTAAACATGTGATTACAGTCAGATGATATCTGATATAATTTCACCCTTTAAATGATTCCGAGATGTCAACACTTGAATATAATATAATAACTGTACAAGGTATGGAAAAATGACAATGAGGAATTTATTTTAAAAATTTACAGCTACATGAAGTTTTTTAAACAAAGGAGCGATGAAACTTTATTTTGTATTGCGTTCGCAAGGTTCGTCTCAGGATTTCAGTTACGAGCTTATTTACATGCAGTATGTTTTATTTTCACGATGCAAACGATCGACAATATTTTGAATAATTCAGGCAAGGATAGCTTTATTTCTTTCTGGTGATGTACATGAAGGCATTTATATTTAGATCTACTGTTTACTTGTTTTATGTTCGACAGCTATTATACAAGATCGGCCAGGCGCTAACCAGAACGCTCATATCCCATTCCCCTTTGCGCGACTATAATGTGACGCAATACTTCATGTCAACCTTTTATATAGTGACTTGTATCTGAAATCTTTTTATAGCGCCTGGGGACGAGACAGCACAAAAAATATCATGACCATAAGAACACATTGGTATCGAAGGTACTAGACTTAGTTCCGAAATACCACACACTCGAACCGACTTGACCTCGTAGCTCAGTTGGCAGAGCATTGGACTAGTATCCCAAAGGTCGCGGGTTCGATTCCCACCGTGTTTAGGCTATCCGGTGTGGATACACACTCAGAGTAACATAAAAAACATTATATTCACCTGAGTACATAACACCAAGACACACGCAAAAATATGCCCACGATAAATTTGCTAGGCGAGGACAATTTTCCCACCACAAAATTGAAATAAATTATGAAACAATGAATGAATATCCGTATTACCTTTTATAGTTGGGGCTTACTTGTACGTAAAGCTTTACAGAAAAAAAGTGTATCATGCACTTAATAAGTAATTACAATGTACTCAGTGACCTTCGAAAACGAAGAAACTGGATTTCTTTTACTATGTGAAGAGGACGAGATTACCCATCAAGTTCGTTTTGACAATAAACGCAAATTTAAGCCCCGTTTACACTACGCTAAATTTTTGATACGTCACGGATAAAATGGGTACCAATTTTATCCGTGCCGTACCAAAAATCGAGCGTAGTGTAAACGGGGCTTTAAACTATTAAAATTATGTAATCGCCTTGTCAACTCCTAAACGGGATAAAGAGAGGAATAGTATAAAATGCTAATTGCCACGGGCTATAGGACATGTCTCGAGTTAAGATACAAACTGTTACAGCTCGAACGGGCAAACCGAGGCCGCTTTTGCATATTTTTAATGTTTTCAAACTAAGCCAAAACCAATCACCAGCGGGTTATTTTGACTAAACATTTTCCGGTTATGAACTTATGACACAGCCATAGGTCTAAATAACCCGCTGGTGATTGGTTTTGGCTTAGTTTGAAAACATTAAAAATACGCAAGTGGCCTCGGTTTGCCTGTTCGAGATGTAAATAAAAAACCTTAAAGCTACATGTAATACACGCTGCGATTTGGCGTGTACGGTTCGTATTCTGGCGTATGAAAATTACTGCTGACGCACAATTCCTCTTCATTTAGTTTATTTAGAAATTTTAAATGCAATAATTTTACTCGTGCTTATTCGATTACATGCGATTGTATAAACTAACGTAAGTACTCCCTTGCGATTGGCACAAATATGTCATAAAAATAATATCAATACCATCCGAAAAGTTAAATACAGTATTTTAATCGGAAAATTGGTAAAGTTCCGAGAACTTTCGTGCGGCGGCCTTACGGTGTTTATATCTATACCCGTCTAGCATGCAAACAAACAATACTCGATAGATACATAAGACTGATTAATACAGTGGAGCCGCAGGGGCGGAAAAATGTCCCAGGGGCGGACTCAGGAGCGGCCTTTGTGCGGCCATGCAGCCTCCCAAAGGGCAGTCAGCATTGCTGAAACAAGAAGAAAGTGGCTTAATTTGTTTCACATCTTTTTTGTTTTCTTCGCAAGTCAACTCGGGTGGGACTGCGGCATAGTAAAATCACATCAACATCCAGTAACATCAAAATCAGCATAAAATACACCGGTGACACTTACTGGATTGCACGCGGGAAATGAATAATAAGCCCCCGACAATTTCTGACATTTTAGAATTTTTAGTTACGACCCTGTATTCGGTGAGACTCACTGCCGTCACACATAAATAGTTGTAAATAACTAGATAAGTTATACTATGAACACCAATATACCATTACACCATCAAGTTCCGTTAACTTCTGCCTTAGCCTGCGTAGTGGCTCTCACGCGGCTACTGCCTTTTAATAGGCAACCTTAGGCATTGAAGACTATATTCAAGAACTGCATACACGCTTTTTTAAGATTCCTAGTACAAGAATGTTACCCATATCGATGGGCGGATAGTGCATGTAAAATTGTTGCATAACATTTCGGGGGCGCTAAAATTTGTGACGTAACAAATCTCGGGGGCGCAATTGCCCTACTCTGCAGTCTGGGGCCGCACCTATGTGTGCAGCATGCATTACCTTGCAGACGCGACGCAAGTTGTCCTATCGAGCTACAATCATGGAACAATTACTTTGGGACAAGTTGAAAACATTTATTACTTCAAAAGAAAGTAGAATATTTCGGGCTTACATTGCTCCCCCCCCATACAATGTTGCTTCAAGAACATATGATATTCGCAAGTATTTCACAACATTTTGCCGATGGGAAATAGCCCGGGGAACCAACATTGTAAGAGGGGGGAGGGCAGGGTACGATCTGCGACAATAGTTTATAAGCTGCTTATAGTAGTTTTCGTTTTATAGATATTACAATGTTATTTGAGTGGCACTTTAATAATAGTGATTGTCCCAGTTAATTATTCTATGATTGTAGTTGGACCTATCGAGCTCGTTTTTGTTGTTTCTGGTGGATCAAGCGTTCTCAACTTCGACATCATATTATGAATCTGTCATCTTACCACCCATTCACAGAATAGGAAGGTATAGCAGAAGCGTAACTCAAGCAAGTATTTGTCCGCGTTTTTACAAGCGATTCGTCATCAATCACGCCATCCTGGCTAGTACAACCGGCACTTTGTACCTATCAAAACCTGATAAAAACTTCCGGTTGTACTAGCCAGGATGACGTGGATTGGCGTGAGCGAGTTAAAATTTTCGTGGACGTAAAACAATAAGGGAGTGGTCATTATTTATGGGGAGGGGGGGTTGGGAAATGGGAGGGGGGGCAAACGTAGTTTTACCCTTATAAATAGGGGGGGGGTCAAAAAAGTTTTTGATTTCTATAATCACAAATAGCAAAAAAGAAGACTCTGAAAATGCTATTTCTAACGATCTAGAGACTCAAAATGTTCAAAATTTCCCTGCTCGGCGCCAACCATGGTGGCGCCGAGCGACCGTTGAGCCCACTAAGTTTAACAAGCTTTCTACCTCCTGAGTGACCCAGTTGTGGTATTTGCATAAACATACCATGCAAGTACTCTTAACTGATCAGATTCGGTCTATCAACGCACAATGTAACGCTGCATATCCAAAAATCTGTTTCAGAAAATGCTCAGAGGAAAATGCTCACATTTCAATTCTAGGGGTGGAAAAATAAAAAAAATTTTCTGGGGGAGAATACCCCCAGACCCCCCTACTAGTACATACGATACCACACCGAACTTTTTGTCACCAACAACCATCTGTCATCTCTCCACACTCAATATAGTATGGTCCCTTTTTGTAGATGCCCACCCCCCAGACAAGTTCTTAAAAAAAACCTGTGTTCAGATCATTTCGCTGTATGAAGACGGGTCATGGGTTAGGGTTATGGTAGGACAAATGTTGCATTGCAAAGTAGTAACACATAATATATATTTTTTAATCATATATGGTTAAATCATATTCACCAGGGTAAAACATCATGAGCTAGATTAAACAGATTGTCATAATATCTAACTTTACCTGCAACGCACACCTGTTTCATTGCTGTTAATTTTTCAATCCACACTGGGGGGGGGGTCAGAAAAGTTTCTACTTTTATGAAGGGGGAGGCACAAAAAGTTTGCCTTCAGTCTGGAGGGGGGGTCAAAAAAGTTTTCAATCATTTTCCCCATTCCCGCCCCCTCCCCATAAATAATGACCACTCCCTAAGGGAAACGACTAGAGTTACGCTTCTGCTATACCTTCTTATTCTGTGACCCATTGGATCATCTGCATGAATGCATGATCACTCCAGCGCAGCGTTTCCACTTGGAAGGAAATTTCCTTCCAGAAGGAAATTTTGGCCTTTGGAAGGAAATTTGGAAGGAAATAGCATTTGGAAGGAAATTGGGAGGAAATATTGTTATAAGGAGGGAAATGAGAAGGAAATTCTATTTTATCTCATAATTTGTAAGAATAAGGCAATTTTCATACAATTTTGTGCGAAAGAAGACCCTGAAAATGCCATTTCCAACGATCTAAAGACTCCATATTTTCAAAATTTTCCGCTCACCGCCAACCATGGTGGCGCCTCGTGGCCTCCCCAAAGCGAGATCTCACGGATGTTTTTTTTTCCAAAGTTGGCAACTATGTATCTACGACAGGACCCCAGAAATGCTATATTGAAATAACAACCAAACCTCGTACCCAGGGTATTGGGGGCTACTTAGTGTGGGCAGGAAAGACCCTAGGGGTTTCTTGTGTGTGTGTCCAGAGGGGAGAGACGCAACAAACAGTTATGGAATCTCTTTTCGCACCCACAGCAAGTAGCCCCCAATTATTATGCTTTTTGTCCCCCGGGCGAAGATGAGCTGATTTTAACTCGTAAAATACTGAGTCATCTGCTATAAATTAATATAATGTGTTTCAATATTAGAGTTTAGAGGTTAATTACCAGGTAAATCCGTCAATTTTGATAAAAGTTTAATTTGAAGGAAAAATGGAAGGATATTTAGAGATTTTTGGAAGGAAATTTTGTGGAAAAAAAGGAAATTTTGGGTTATGGAGAAGGAAATTATTTTTTTCGGAGTGGAAACACTGCTCCAGCGTAGCCTGCGTAGCGGCACAGAATAGGAAGTTATACCAGAAGCGTAACTCGAGCAAATATTTGTCCGCGTTTTTACAAGCGATTCGTCATCAATCACGCCATCCTGGCTAGTACAACCGGCACTTTGTACCTACCAAATCCTGATAAAAACTTCCGGCTGTACTAGCCAGGATGGCGTGGCCTGACGTGAGCGAGTTAAAATTTTCGTGGACGTCAAACAATAAGGGAAACGACTAGAGTTACGCTTCTGGTATAACTTGCTATTCTGTGGTAGCGGATAGCCGCTCACAGAAAATGTTTAAATTCTTGTTTATATCAAATATAAAGTTCCGTCTTAACCTTAACGAAACGTTTTTAACTAAATTTTGTGTATAACATCAGCACGTTTACACTCGTAATTCAGTGCGTATCTCGACAGAATAGAAAATAGACCAGAAGCCTCACTCAGCCAAAATTGTGTCCGAGATTTTTTATGCGCAAGCGCGAGCCAGCAAGTGTAATCACGACGCCATCAAACGCGAGCAACGCCATCAATTGCCATCACTATGTAATAAAGATTGCTGTTTTAACCGTTTTTAAATGCCACAGGTCCAAATAATGGGTCATCGCAACAGGAAGACAACGTAAAAAACAAAAGCGTAAAATATTTGCATAATAATTGCAGAATATGCAGCGTACACTTTGAGCATGTTTTTCGAATTTCAAGAAAAACCGTTGATTTGAGGAATTGACGCTGACGAACGCTGACGTGATGTTCGCAGCAAGTGTCACACACGTCATCTAGCGTGCGCAATTCGTGATCCGCAAGGCGAAAATCGCGGACACGAAAATGTTAAGGAAAGGTGTACAGTGAGGCTTCTGGTCTATTATATATTCTATGGTATAATGCCTCGGTATAATGAAACAAGATAGCATATAATTTCAGTGTATCTTTATTGATTACCCTTTTTTGTAATTATATCGAATTTTTTAAATAAAAAAGAACGCAAACTTATTTGCATGCGAGAATTTGAAATCTTTTATTTCAAACCAAAAGGCAAAGTTTATCGATAAAGGCAGTTTTAATGACCTTTAATAGTTTTATAAAGAACATTTTAAAACATTTTGCGAAGCCGTTTGTGGTTGAATTTTACCTTAAATTGAAGCTTATAGTACGTATAATAACATACCTAACATGTATATGCTTGGGAAATTGATAATTTGTAATTAAAAGTGATATTTTCTAGGAGATTTTTCATTTTGGAAAAATATTCTTAAAAAATTATCGTGTTACCATGACAACTACTTTAAATACTTCATGTTCGGAAAATAGATTGGTTTTGTCAGCAAGGCGAGGGGTTTCTGCATGCATGTATTTTCTAGTCACATATATATTTTAGAATATTGTGCGTCCTCGTGCGTAGCTATTGATAGACGCATTCGCTCTCACTAACCACAGTGAACTCACTAACTGTTTCCTGACAGTGTCATACACATTGTCTCATCTTAAGGCCTAAAAAAACCCTGTGGTTCCGGTTCCCGACCGACCCTATTTTTTTCTGCCGACCCTATTATTTTTTCAACGCGATTGACCGTGCGACCCTGTTTTCTCCGGGTGGTTGCGGGCTGCTCGTACAGCGTGCTAAAATGGCGTCTGCTGTCACACTAATTATTGAACCAAATTGCCTAAATTTGTCCTTAGGAACTACGCATCTCTAGTTAATGTTGATGTCGGGACTCTACTGAAAATCGCCCAGCAAAAAACCGCCAAAACCATGAATAAAATATTTAAAAAAAAAATTATTTCCGACCTACGATATGAAACCGGAACCACAGGTATTTTTTTAGGCCTAATTAAATTACGCTATTGTGCATTGTTTATCAATGTTGCATTGTTTATCAATGTTTCATTGACCATCACGTGCAACACTCGTGCATAATTCTAGTGTATTATTTCCGTGTATGATTCTAGTGTATTATTTCCGTCAATGAACACGAAAATATTTGCATAGCCACAGGGGGTCCAATATGAATAAAACATTAATTAAACGTAATATGAATAAAACATCATAATGTAATATATTTAAATTATTGCACTTATTTGTATAAATCATAAGAGCTTGTGTTTACAGTGAATAGCTTCAAACAGGGCGCTTATATATATATATATATATATATATATATATATATATATATATATATATATATATATATATATATATATATATATATATATATATATATATATATCAATAGCTGAGTGCAGTGGGCTTGCATGGAACAAACCCTTCGGCACCAGACATATCTAAGGGCTGTTCAGTATACCAAAATCTGTATTAACCCATTGAGTGGTAGCACTCTCCCTTGACAAAAAAAATTGCCTGGTGTTAGACCAAGTAAAATACAGTAAAATAGGCCACATCATGGTACACATGTAAAAATTGAGAAAATCAACAACTTGTTGCAAGTTGATATCGATAGGCATGAACAAGGTTGTGCGGCCCACTATGAACAGTATTGTCAACATGTTGTTACAGCATTGTTCAACTGTAACAACTTGGAACAACATGGTTGACAACTTGTTCATAGTTGGCTGCACAACATTGTTCACGCCTGTCGATATCAACTTGCAACAACCTGTGCGTTTAATTAGCCGTGTACATTGCAACTTAAAGGTTAAAGTCCGTTAAACCCAATATTGGTATTTCAGTACAAGTTTTTCAGTCTTTGGATATACAGATATACCAATTATCTGACATATGCCAAAACATTTGGAAGGACAAAACCATTGATTTTGTTGTACTACAAGAATACATAGAAGCAGGAATTTCCCATTGAAAACAATGTTACTTAAGGCCCACAATAAAAGTCAAATACGATTCTTATTAAATTCTGGCATATGTACTTGAATAAATGCGTGTACAGTCAACTAACTGTTGATTAAACAGTCATATACGACTAGTCATATTGTGTAAATGGGCCTTAAGTATAAAACCTAGAACAATTGCCAAATTTATGTTGTGAAAAGGTGAACACCATGAGAATCCATGAATACAGTTGACATTCCTTCAAAATTGTTGCAAGCAGTGTTTCACCTATTTCAATGCCTCACCTATTGGAATAGAACCATTAAACTGTTCCTTCTGTAACACAAAATAAAAATAGATAGTCAAATAACCAATTTCAGACATATTCAACACAAGACGGTAATAATTATTAATACAGTCTGTATTTTATTATAATGTACGTATACAAAATAAAACAAGAAATACCGTTTCGTTTTGGTCTGCATCATTAGTAAACTTTCCATTATGCAGCGAACGTAGTAATAAAGAAGAACAACAATTTATTATCCGAATATTTTGAGCAAAACTAGAAGAAACAACAAATTTAAAATTTTTAGACATAATTTTCTGAGAAACTTTTGGTCTTTTAAAAATTTTTTTCCCGCGAGAAATGTGTCAGTGGCATGGTTGTAATACTTCATTTAAGCAAAATATAATTGCAGCAACGCAATATATGCGTTCACAAAACTTTATAAAATTGATATAATCTTAGGCTTCTTAGCAATTAGTATTAGAGATAGATTTGAACTAAGTCATAACATGTAGATATGATGAGGAATTTATGTAGTTTCGCCCATCCCGTAAAACGTCTCCGGTTTTTTGTGAACAAGCCCGGTTTAAAATTGGCATCAAACTTGCATGAAGGTATCAGTTTCCATCGTATTAGCGTACGTTTTATATAGAGAGGCTAACGCAATAAATTATGCTGTCAGACAGCAAAATGTTATCGATTGTTCATCTTCATATTTGCAAAAAGTAGATCTCAGAATTGAAATCTTCGTGCCCAAATTAGTCTACACTGGAAATTTCATGATGTTTGGACATTCAAGGACGCGAGTTTTTGCATTTTAGAAATTTTGTTTTTTTAGTGGATTTTCCGCGGCAATGAAAATGTTTTCACTGCAGTAGAAATTCCACTCAAATGTATAAAAGCAAAATTTTCAAAACATTATAAAATTTCCAGTATCAGAGTCAAAGATCTTTAGATGGTGAGATGAAAAATTGATGTCGACTCGGATTGGAGAATAGGCGAGATGGAAGCATAAAATAGAATTACTTTTAAGGAAATATTTGCAATACCTACCTGTTTTCGAGCCTTTTCAAGCGCTTGATCACAGAGTAGATACATATACAGAGTTATAACTAGTGTACCCACTTAGTGAGCTACCCTACCGAACATGTGCAGTTGACAATTTTTTGCCCGGTCACTTGAAAAAAAGTGGGTACATGAAAACGTGGGTACATGAAAGTTTCCGCAGTGTTTACGATGGCCAGTTGCAGCTCTGAATGTATCTACTCGACTACTCTGTGGCTTGATTCTATATTCCAGCGACGAAAAATAAAAAAAAATTTGTTTGTCCTTCAATTCTTTTTCTCGATCAAGCAATTCAGCCACGCATATTTACTGGTTAGACAGCATAGGAAATCCCTTAAAACCAAGAAAATTCTGTTCTATGTCTTCTATATGGCTGTCCTTTGGAAAGTCAAGTTTGTGACACCCATGCAAGAGCAATAGCTCATTTTAAGACTTGTGCGTGCGGCCAAAGGCCTGGGCACCAGTAATGACCGCAATTAAATCACATAGTTAAGACACGAGTAATGATCGCAATTAAATCAACTATTGTCCATGAGATATATATCTGTTCTCATTTGCTGGAATGTGAATTCCCAATCTATTCAAAAGTGGATGCTAATTGTTGAAAGTCTAAAATATGCAAAGCATTAATATAGAGAGTTAAATGATAGCCTTTTTAACATACGCTTACTATACTATGATCGTAAGGATATGTATTAATTACCTGACATATGTATCAACATGTTTTTATCTGGTAGATTTAAGACATTATCCCCCTCCTACACTTGGCCCTCAATAATGCTGGATTTCGCTTGGCATTATTTTCTACATCAGAAAGCAAAATTTTCGATCTCGCTCCTCTCAAGAACGTCATATGTGTAGGTAACAAGTTTTGGAAAAAGTTTTGTATAATATTCTATAACACCAAATTCACTCTTCAAGTATGTGTCACGTAGCTCCATCTTTCTGAGCTTGCGAAAATGTACAATTTTATTTCGAACTGCCCTAAGAAGAAAACAGATATTGTCGGCCTTACCAGGTTTGCTAAATCCCGACAGGTCGCTTTTGGCATATTTGTCTAGTTTGTCAAGCCATTTTCCTTCAAAAACAATGTCGGAATTTTCTTTCAACTTGTCTTTAAAATCTGTAACTTTTGGATCGTCCAGCTCATCCACGTAATCACCAATCTTAGTTAGAAAATTTGCCATTTCCTCTTTCTTTAAAAGAAAAGGATGCTTCATGATTTTATAACCTTCAATCCGGTCAGAGGCATTTGAACATATCATTCTATGTATGAGATCTTCAGCCATTGCAGTTAAATGCATACTGTGATTGAAATGTTCATATAGAGCATCTAAAGAAACTTTGTACTCTGGAGAAATGATATTCTGCTGACATTCTGCTGGAACAGAAATTTCTCCAAAAGGATGTCCCCTTGTCAAAATAAAATAAAACACACAACCAAGGGAAAATATATCCACAGCATTTGAACGTGTTTCCTTTAAAAGATACAGTTCTGGAGCACTCCATCCTATTGTACCATACATTTGATGTGATGATTTTTCCTTGCAAAAATGACCCATGTCAAAGTCAAAAATAACAAGTGCGATACCATCGACTGTTCTTTTCCAAAGAATATTTTGAGGCTTAATATCACGATGCTGAATACCTTCTTTGTGCAGGAAGCAAATTCCTGATGATAACTGTAAAAAGTAATTATGTGGATCAACAATATCATGAAATCCACTAATTTGTTCCATAACAGCAGTCATTAGGTCACCATCACAGAGTTCAAGAGCTAGGTATGTAAATTCTGGATCATGCTCATCAGGCTCCATACATAAATACCGTATAATATTAGGGTGTGGTCGGGCTTCTTCTGACAAATGAAGAAGTAATCTTAATTCTTTACAAGCTTTTATCATGCTATTGTGTTTTTTAATGGCTACTTTTCGACCATCACTCAGTCCCCTGTAAACATTTCGACTAAGGGCATCATTAATGTTGTACCCAATTCGCCCTATTCGCTTATAATCAGAAAGTGTGTCAGCATGTGTATTAGATGGCTTTTCAAGCAATGTTTCGGATGGCTCTTCAACCTGCATTTTGGATGGTTTTTCAACTTGAACGTTTTTGATTGGCTGAAATGCGTGATCAATAACGCGATTGGGCATCATAAATATGTACCATATGTTGCGCATGGCAAAAAAACGCGGGAAACTTTTATGGCTCTTTTGGGGGAAACATTTCGGCAGAATAAAAAAAAATTCACCAAACTTTCACTGTTTTAGTCAATAAAATATAACCTGAATACATTGATTTATTTTAACCAAATCATGTGTATATAAAAGGGCCATAAAAAAGCCAAGTTTAAAGCTTATAGTTTATATACTCACTCAGTCTGATAATTTGACGAGATTTTGCAAAATTTGGCAGAAAAGTTTGAGAAAAACGTATTTCTAAAGCCCTAAAACAGCAAAACTGGATCCTGGCAACATTAAAATATATACAGTTTCCAAGACATAGGTAATACCAGTGCAAAAAAAAAATAAATGAAAAATTCAAGTAATAAAAACATAAACAGAGTCTGAACAACAGAAGTTACAGAACTCTATATTGGCGGCAAATATTATATGGAAAATAAAATAAATACCTTTTTAAACTGTCTGCTACTCTGCTCCCTTTTTTACCAATTGAAAGCAAGCCTTAAACCATCACAGTGTCAATAAAATTTCATCAGTAAAACAACTTTTGATGAAATCGTATATCATAAAATAATTTTTTCATGATTTAGCGTGGTCAATCGAGTTATCGAGCACTTGTGAAGTTGGGAGAGCACGGTGATTGAGCTAATTGTATTTTTCGTATAATGAAATAACCGTCACAGAATAAAGATCAGTACCAGAAAGGCCACTCAGCGGTGCAACGTGTCGCCATTTTTCTATGCAAAAATATGCAGTTGACTGGCCAGAAGGCGGGGGCCTTCAGCCAATACAGCGCGTTTATTGGCCAGAAAATGTAATCGACTGGCTAGGAAGATGGCGGCCAGGGCCCTTCTGTGTGCCTTATTCTGTGTAACCGTCCAATTAACCTTTTCCCAAATGAGATCACAGTGCATTCTGGGATCGTTCTACATGCGTAAAAATTGAGAAAATCAACAACTAGTTGCAACTTGCAAGTTGATATCGACAGGCGTGAACAAGGTTGTGCGGCCCACTACGAAGAGTACAGTACTGTCAACATATTGTTACAGCATTGTTCAACTGTAACAACTTGGAACAACATGGTTGACAATTTGTTCATAGTTGGCCGCACAACATTGTTCACGCCTGTCGATATCAACTTGCGAGTTGCGACAACCTGTGCGTTTTTAGCCGTGTAGCTGAGATGAAACGTGGTGCAACCACAAAAGACTTGTGGTTGAGACAAAGCATTTGTGCACGGCGAGGTCTTCATTCTTCATAGGCATAGGCCTTCTATTTTGTAGCTTTGAAGTTTGCCGGGCTTCTGTACCATAATAGCGATTTATGTTACAAAGCGTTTGTGTTCGAAATTTACTAACTGATCGTGAAAAATGTTACCAAATTAATTTCGCCCTCAACCCGGTTTGATAAAAATCTGTGGTAACAATATGAGGACCCCGGGGACGAAGTTGATCAATATAATAGAAGTTAGTTGCGGGTACATGTTTTCATAAAAAAAACAATAGTGCTTTTGGTTATCATGGCACTACGCCACTAGGTTGACTGATAGCTAGCCTGAAAACCAACTAATTTAATAATTAGCCTATCTCACGCCGCCATTTTTGGGTGACTTTTCAGCCGAAGTCTGCGAGATAAGTCCACATAACAGCGAGTTTTTATAATTTTTTGAACGAATGATGGTAAATTTGCTCTGTAAATGGTTAGTTTATTTTAAAAAATTGCTTTTCACATTGTTTTAATTCACTGCATTGGTTAACGAGAATTAGATGCCACCCAAAAATGGCGGATATTCGTCATCGTGAGAAAGGCTAATTCTATTCCACCATAGTTAATGGAGGAGATGGTTTGGAAACTCGTTAGCATTACAATAAAATCACAATAAACCTCATTATCTATGTTGTTCAGGTTTATGCAAAAATGTGGTCTTTCATCGTCACGTGCGTATTGTATTTTTCTCAAGTCAACCAATAGGAATGTTCAAAATGTCTTATTGTTAAAGTCATGGGTGGGCAATTGGACAAAACCGTCGCTATTGGGTGGTTGAGCAAAAATACAATACGCACGTGACGATGAAAGACCACATTTTTGCATAAACCTGAACAAAAACATAGATAGTGAGGTTTATTGTAATGCTAATAAGTTTCCAAACCATCTCCTCAATTAACTATGATTCCACTGATTTCTATTCCATGTTTAGAAATTGTTCTAAAAAAGTTCCAAAATTGACGAAATTTTACCAAAAGTAAAATATTTTAACAAAATCTGGTCACACTGAACATTTCTAAAATAGGCTACACCAAAATTCCAGGGCCGCAATTCGATTAGTGTCAGCAAGCCTAGTTTCATTTTTTGCAACTGCTCCAGAGTAGGTCTTAAATATATATGGCCTTTCGCTCGAAATTTACATCCACGAAAACAATACGAATGGATATGTTATTATTCATTCACAACGCGCGAAATTCTAATTTGCGCAAAAAATTATAATTACCTCAAAAATTGATGACGTCATAAAGAACAAGAACGAAGCCAATCAGAACGTTGACGCACTGTGCAAAAATGACGCACGCGTCCTGAGTCTCAAAAAAAGATATGAGTTCGCATCAATCTGCGATCACACTTGTCCAGAAAAAAGGAGCGCTCGTTCCACAAAGATCCGAACGGAAATCCACATTAGAAGCGAATGGTTATACCCTTGGAAAAACCTTAGGCGAGGGAGCGTATGCTAAAGTTAAGTTAGCTATCTCTTCAAAACAAAATTGCCATGTTGCTGTGAAGATTATTAACAAGCGTCGTGCGACCAAAGAATATCTGGCTAAATTTTTACCACGAGAAATTCAAGTACTTCAGAGATTGAAACATCCATATGTGGTAAGAAGTAGAGGATATTACACGGCGGCGCTTTGGCGGCGCGAAGATATGACTTTTTTCTCCGAGTGGTCAGTGGTGAAAACAATATTTTACGAGTGAGTAAAATATTGTTTTTAACACGAGAAGAAAAAAGTCGTATCTTCAAGCCACCGTGTAATGTTCTGTTTATTATAGTCCCAAGTACCCTGGTTCCAGAGGTTTAAAATAAACCTCTGGTTGAAAGCGGCAATTGATTCATCGAGCCGCGCCAATCAGTTTGAATTAGGGTCAGATCCTGACTCTGTCTCCTGATTGGATGATTGTATTAAAGCTCTCTGATTGGTTATAGATGTTTTATTTGAATCAATCAGAGAGCTTTAATACAATCATCCAATCAGGAGACAGAGTCAGGATCTGACCCTAATTCAGACTGATTGGCGCGGCTCGATGAATCAATTGCCGCTTTCAACCAGAGGTTTATTTCTCCTCTCCCCTTCGCAATGAAAATAATAAAAATAAACCTCTGGAACCAGGGTAAGTCCCAAGCAAAAAATGGTGAAATTTCACGCTTAAAACCAAATTGGAAAAAGTTACGTGATCGATATCTTCACTAGTGAAGATATGGAAAATATCTCACTGTGTATTTTTCAGTATCTCACTCTCTACTATATAAATAGCGAACATGTATTGTCGTGAAAGCTGGATGGCTATTGACCTGCATGGAATTAGTTGTATGAAGGTTGGATGGGGCTGTTTGATAACGGGCGTAAATGCATTATTATTGCTGGTTACCCAGCAGTTTTCATAACGACTCTGTTATACCATTACATATTACAATAACAATCATGCACTAATAGGTCCTAGACATAGAAATATTTTGGAGCGTTTGATTCTTCTGCAGACGTCTCTTATTTAGAGCTTTACTAAAGTTAGAGAATGAAAAGTAATAGTCCTAAAAGATTTATCAACAGACACTGGAATGAAATGTCCTGAGTTTCCTTTGCACTTGGTGTTGTAATATCATAGAGAGCTGTCTGTTTTAGAAAGAGAGGTGTTCGTATTAGAGAGGTTTCCGTATTCCGTATTAGAGAGGTGTCTGTATTAGAGAGGTGACCTTATTAGAGATGTGTCTGTATTAGAGAGGTGTCTGTATTAGAGAGGTGTCTGTACTATAGCGAGGTTTCCGTATTAGAAATCAAAATATTCTGGGCATTGGTCTTGAATCACTTTGTGTAACAAATCAATGTTTCTCTATTCACAAGACGAAATTCTACGAAGTCATTGAAACCCAGTCGAAGGTCTACCTTATCATGGAATACGTGGAGAAAGGCGACCTACTAGAATACCTCAACAGCAGCGAAAACTTATCTGAAGAGGAGATACGCGGACTATTTCAACAGCTAGTGTTAAGTGTAGGGTATTGTCACAAGGAGAAAGTTGTTCATCGTGATATCAAGTGCGAGAATATACTGCTTGATAACAAAGGACGTCTCAAGATAACTGGTGAGAAAGTCTATATATAAGACTTAAAATCAAGATAAAATTTTATATGGCTATATTTCGATTGTATTTCGAAGCCTTCTTCACACCAAATAATTAAATTAAATTTAACGCGATTTACTTAGTCTGAAGAAGGCTTCGAAATCATATCTTGGATTTTCAAAAGATGCATCTCTTCGGAACTGGTTTTATTTTAGTATTTTTTTCAAATATAATTTTTTCCCTTTATTTTTGTTCGGGGATAGTCCAAACCATAAATTAAATCTGTAACAAGCCTGTTCTCTATAGCCATATGAGTCACGATTTAGGAACAGTTACTATTTTTAGACTCTTAAGCTGGTTACAGACGAAGAAGTTTTCTATGACAAGTTTTTATGTGACAAGTTTTATTTGCCAAGTGCACGTATGTATATGCAACAAATTTTATATGACAAGTTTGCATATGACAAGTTTTATTTACTGGTGTGAACCTATGGTGTTAACGTGTCAACAAGTTTACTTTGACAATTTATTAGTGGCCAGCAATGTAATACTACAGCGGACCACGCGAGCGCTAGCCAATCACAACAAATGCCAGATCAGATTACTTTGACAAGTTTTCTTTGTTGACCCATACAGACGAACAAAACTATTTGTATACTTTGACAATTTTTTCTATATGACAAGTGCACTTGTTCAAAAGCTAGCATGCTAGCTTTTGAACAAGTGCACTTGTCATAGAAAAAAATGTCAAAGTTGCGCGTTCAGACGAGCAAATAAAACTTGTCACATAAAAACTTGTCATAGAAAACTTGCTCATCTGTAACCGGCTTTAGGATTAGGAAAAGGGTTAGGACTAGAGTTAATATTAAGATTAGGGTTAGGATTAGAATAAGGGTTAGGGTTAAGTTTAAAATACAAATGCATACAAAATTACAAAAGTCTAAAAATAGTAACCCTTCCTAAAACCTGACAAGTATATCTTCTACAGCACTAATTTATTGGGGTATATCCCCTTTTCTTAGACTTTGGTTTTGCGACAAGCACATACAAGAACAAGCCATTAGAGACATTCTGTGGTTCATTCGCCTACGCGTGTCCTCAGATCTTGCGAGGTGAGAAATATGATGGAATGGCAGCAGACGTATGGAGTATTGGTGTAGTGTTGTATGCATTGTGCTGTTCAAGATTACCTTATGGTGATGATGAACTCAAGTTGTTTGTCAAGAATGAAACACCCAAGAAATTGATGTTCACGAAAAATGTCACCAAAGGTAGACGATGAAAATATTCAATAATTTTTATTCGAGTTATTGAATATTAAGACGTGGTTATCCAATATCGGTATATATAAGAAAAAATATACAACGTATACTAGAGGGCACTCGGACACTGCATACCTCAGCAGCGAATTAAAAGTTATGTGGCATGCATAAACATCTTGTAAACTCAAGATATGGGTTATTGAAGAAACACCAATTTCGACTTTTTGAGATAAAACCCAACATTTTCGGCTCAGACTTGTTGAACAACAGTTTGTACTTTGGAGAAGAGTGGGCAATTAGTGGGATGGGACACGCCCACCTTCAGATACGAGGAGGACGTATCCCTTTGAGGCAGAACTTTCGTTGCATTCAGCTTGTTGGATATATAATCCGGCACAAAATTGATTAAACGTCTCTTTTAACGTCGCGGGAATGTGCGTCTGCACCGAATGAACATCGCGGTCAAACGTAAAGGGCATGCGCGAGTATATGGAAATGGCGGGGAAAATATCTGCAAAAATAATAGGAGTAAATACGGGAAAAGCGTAATAGACCTTTCCCCTTATGAGTGAAATTTTGATCTAGACAAGCCTGGACAGAAATTTCATCACAGCTTATTATTATTATTATTAAGTCTTTATTAAACATAGCCACAACAGACGTGTGACTTTACATTTAAAATTCTCATATACAAGGTTCCAAAAAAAAAATATAATAAAATAAACTTAATTATTATTATGTATCTAAGTTAATTATTCTTAGGTAGAATTCTTAAAAAGACTAAGACTAAGTTATTATTATGTATCTAAGTTAATTATTTTAGCTAAAATTATTAAAAAGACACCTATTTAAAAACGACCGTTTGAATCTTTCTGTTTTAACCTTAGGTAATATGAAATCGTGTTCGCGTTCTCTTAACGGTCTTTGTCTTTTAGGAGGAAGTAGTTCGTATGAAGGGTGGTCTGGGTTGCTACATATTTTTTCAAATAAACTCATGTCTCTTTCTTTAATCACATCAATTATCTGAACACTTTTTGTTGTGTATCCATATCTGTATGCTCGCCTAAGAAATTTATCAATCCGTTCCAGGTACTTCTTTTCAAGTGCAGAACCCCATACTTCGATTCCATAAGAAAATAAAGACATAATAAGTGCGTCGAAGAGAATTGTTAAATTTTTTTTAGAGTAGCCATACGATCTGCATATTCTCAAGATGTGCATTCGACTACTAGCTTTAGATATCAAATTATTAACTTGAAGGTCCCAACAATTTGGATCATTCTGCAGTGTGGTTCCCAATAGTTTCAGCCAAGTCTTGCGTTCGATACCCGTTATTGGTTCTGGTAAAGGATTTGTTGATTTGCCACTTACAACCATTTCCCATGTTTTATCTAGATTTAATGACATTCTGTTTGTTTCCGTCCATTTTTCAATATTGTCTACCTCAGCTAGTGCGGAGTCATAATTATTTTTCACTGGATCGCTAACAGTCATATCATCTGCAAATTTGACTAGTATGTTGTTATTTGGATCTTTGACTGTTAGATCATTTATCATTAAGGAAAATAGAAATGGTCCAAGAACTGTGCCTTGCGGTACTCCTTTGTTTATGTCTACATAATTTGTTTCTATTCCGTTTACTATTACTCTTTGTCTCCTATCAGTCAAAAAATTTCTAATCCAATTTATTACATATGGATTAATGTTGGTTTTTCCTATAGCTTCTTGCAAATGATGTTGTGAGAAACGGAATCAAAGGCTTTCTTGAGATCGAATGAAATCACCCTGACATGATCAACATCACCATCCAGCCAATTTAGCCATAATAAGAGCATCAGTTGCGCTGGTACCTTCCTTATATGCGAATTGGTCAGATTTTATTAATTGTTTTAGTTCTGATGAGATCTCTTTTTTAAACACTATTCTTTCGAACAATCTCATTATTACGTTCGTAAGAGATATAGGCCTTAATTGTGTACATTCTATAAGGGGGCTTTCCTTAGGTATTGGATTAAGATTGGCTAATTTCCATGGGAGGGGAACGCGTTGCTGTTCCAATGACATGTTAAATATCTTTGTTATCACTGGGGCTAGATATTTTGCAAAGTCTTTCCATACCCAATAGGGTAGGCCATCAGGACCTGTTGATGTTTTCTTTTGTTTTTCCAAAAACCTTTCTACAGTGGGTATATCAACATTTGGTACTCTAGTCTCATTGGGTATAGGAACGAGTTCAGGATATGTGTAATTATCATCAGTGTTTATTGTCTGGAAATAACTATTTATAACACTTGGATCAATAATTATACTGGTGTGACTTGCCTTCCTACCGGTAATTTTATTAACTGTGTCCCACCATTTCTTCGATCCAGATGCATATTTCCCATTCTCCTTCTTAACTTCACTAACCATATTTTCTCGGATAAGCTTATTTATCTTTCTTTGTAGATCTTCGTTAACTCCTTTCCTCACACTTTTATTGCGTATTTTACATAAATGTTTTACCAGAGGAGACATGTATGGGGGATCCCGTGTGGATAATTTTATCTTAATCAATGGAAAACTGTTGTTGAATGCAGAAGTGATAATATGATTTAATAACATAACTGATTCGTTCACGTCTTCACAGTCATCAATACAGCTCCAGTCTTGTGCTTCCAACTCTATCACGATAGAAACTTTCGATGGTCTCTTGCATCTCTAAAATAAACTGTTTTTCTTTCCGGTTTTACAGCTACCCGTGGAGTTACTTGAAATAGCATCACAAAATTAGTAATATTCCAAAGTTTCGTTGCGAAATGTTGTAAAATGCGGATAATATAGCCTTGCAAAGTTTGCCGTTTTTCAGTCATTTTGTATTACAAATGGGAAATTGATAATCAGTTTGATCATCTGATTATCAATTTCCCATTTGTAATACAAAATGACTGAAAATTACAAACTTCGCAAGGCTATATTATCCGCATTTTACAACATTTTGCAACGAAACGTCGGAATATTACTAATTTTGTGATGCTCTTTCAAGCTGTGATGAAATTTTTGTCCCGACATGTCTAGATCAAAATTTCACTCATAAGGGGAAAGGTCTATTACTATAAGGAAACGGCTGAAGCTATAAGGTAAATTTATCGAAATTTAAATTTTTTAAATTTTTTTTATTTAGCTATGAGGGAATTTTATCGTTTTTTTTCCTTGTGTCAAGATGAAGTTATACTATAAGTTTAAACACTCGTAATTTTCTTTAAACGTTTTGCTAGAGCTTCGTGAAGATAATACTATTTCCTGTATTTTGAATACAAGAAGTAAATACGCGCGGACGTTTGAGTGCGGTGTTCACCGAAGGTTACTCTTATCGTAACAACAGCACCATTTAAACAGAAAAAATAACATATGTGTTCAATAACGCATTCTCTCCTAGCCTCAATTTATAATGTATGTGCATGAAAATGGGACCAATACAGCCTAGTCCCAGGCTCAATACTGCCAGATCCATTCGTGCAGCTAATTGCTAATAACTAGTGGGTATTGTTAACGGTGACGTCACGCCTAGGTCCCAGTCTCATGCAATTATGCGCGAGGCCGTGCAAGCATCAATGGCTGCCACTAATACAGTAATTCTGAAAACTAAATTCACTAATTTTCAACTAAATTCCCCATTAATATATAATATATTATCAAATAACCGATAATGCATCCTAACGCCAAGTTTTTACTTGAGAGGTCATTCTGAGAAGAACTATACGTTATGTTTATAGAATTAATCAACTCTTTACTGTCAGAATTGCCGGATACGATATCATCAGTTTAATTTTAGCAGCAAAAAATAAAAGGAAAACTAATTTACAGTTTTTCTAATGACATCATATCCGGAAACTTTGACAGTGAAAAAGTTGATCAAAATGAGGTTTTTTACTATAAAGATATATTACATTTCTTCTAAGAATGTCCCAAATACATACCAAAAAGCACATTTGTGGTTAGTCGCACGCAAACTATACTGTGCTATAAGTACGGTTATAAAATACCTCGTTCATCTAGGGTGCCGTGACCTGATTCGCCAAATGCTGGACCCAGACGAGAAAACTCGCATCACGTGTGAACAAATCCTTGAAACCGATTGGTGCAAACAAAATGTTGATAAGGTGCTTGATGAGATGCGAAGACCATCGCTAACACCCGATGTATCCCCTCCTGTAGTCAGTAATCGCCGTCGATCCACACGTACCCCTAAACCACCCACACTTCCAGACATTCCCTCTGTAGGTAAGCAGATTTTGTGCAGTGTAGTGCTTCATCCCTGGTGCATACACACAAAGGCAACATTCTGAAATATTAGAGAAAACTGTTTCTTGAAGCAAAGAATACGAGATCTCTTCGACTTTAATCGACCATTTGCATTATAGACTAAATTTTGATCTAGACAAAAATTTCATCACAGCTTGAAAGAGCATCACAAAATTAGTAATATTCCAAAGTTTCGTTGCGAAATGTTGTAAAATGCGGATAATATAGCCTTGCGAAATTTGCAATTTTCATTCATTTTGTATTACAAACGGGAAATTGATGCCCCAACACCCGATTGGGCTGCCAATTTCCCGTGCGTAATACAAAATGACTGAAAAACGGCAAACTTCGCATGGCTATATTATCCGCATTTTACAGCATTTCGCAACGAAACTTTGGAATATTACTAATTTTGTGATGCTCTTTCAAGCTGTGATGAAATTTTTGTCTAGATCAAAATTTAGTCTATAATGCAAATGGTCCATTGTACACGAAACAATAGCTTGAAATCGGGGCGAAAATTGTAATCGATTGTAAATAAGCAGTTTCTATATTGCCAGGTAGCAAATTCAGAAAGTGGCTATTGATGTGCCTTCTTGTGGATTTTATTGTGAGATTGACAAAAAGGACAAACATTTTATCTGCTTGTGAATTAGGAGATGAAAAACGTGGGTCCATAGCCCAGCCAAGTCAAAGGAGAATTAGTTTCCAGGATGAAGTGGCCACGATTGCATCAAATATTGCGACAAAATCAAGAGTGAAACAATATCAGTATGATGGTAAGTTTTCAATCAATAGGTTGTACTTTTCAAGTTATTATTATACCGGCAAAACGATTTCCGTGCAGTAGATGAATGATTATATTTTTCTCATGTCAAATTTATCGTCTCAGTCAGTTTTACTGTAATTGGCCAGGTGTTTCAGCACCTATTTTAATTTGAAAATTAAAGTTATTGCTATATGAATATTGGTTATAATTATAAATCATAAAAAATCAATACTTCCAATAGACAATTCCCATTATAGACTAATTTTTTTTATCTTGGCAAAAAAATTATATTCCCGGAAAGAGCATACTAAAATGAGTAAAATTGCAAAGTTTGGTTGCGAAATGTTCTAAAACGCGAAAAAAATATAGCCTTGCAAAATTCGAAAATTCGCTCATTTTGTGTACTTTGGTTCTGCGTGCAGAAATTGCTATACCACATTTGGGCCGAAAATGGTAGCAATTTCCGCACGCAACACAAAAGTAGACAAAATTTGCAAAGCTATATTTTCCGCATTTTACAACATTTCGCAACAAACTTTGCAATTTTACTCATTTTAGTATGCTCTTTCTAGCTGTGGTGATTTATTTGCATCTCCTTGCCTAGTTTTAAAATTAGTCTATAATGGGAATTGTCTATTCAAAGATATGTTTTCGTTGGTTCTTTACGTCGTCCCCCCTTCATGTAGGGAAAAGTGTCGAAATTTTAAGACGGCTCCCTAAATAGTCTGTATAAGATTTCTTGCCTTTAACTGTGTTTGGCCTTGCTCTATTTACAGAAAGTTACAAGTCTCGACCTGAATCTGGACGGCGCCGTAGCTCCTTAGTCAGTGATATCGTGAACGCAGAGAAAAGTTTAGTAAATCAAAGGCGAAGGCAATCTATCACGGAAAGAAAGCCATCTCTTGCGTCTGACGTATTGATTACGTCACCAGAACAAGCCGCTGTGAACGCGCGGAAAATGTCCTGGACACCAGCACATGTTGCGGTAGGCTAAATGTATATAACTGGAACGCTACCTTCAGATAAACTACCTAACTTTTTCTTGAAGCCAAATCGAACCCAGATTATTATCCAACACTAACGCAGCTAGGACTTATATTTCCAGTTAAAGGACAATGGCAATTGTCCCATTCAAAATAACTCTTTTAATTATATATTAAACTCTATTACCGACTTGTCGGCGTATGTTGCTTAGTTCTCGAAATATTTAGACCAAAATTGATGAGCTGTCCGCCATCTTGGACTAATTCTTGAGGGTTACGCTAATTTTTTGTCTTGAGAGTAAGCAATCAATATGGGTCCAAAACTTCATTTCTGGTCGCTCTCTGAAATTTAGAAATGATCAAAAACATTTCAAACAATTTTGGATTGTTACTTGGTCATTTTAAAGTCGTTTTATATATGGTTAACCCAACTCCTCACGTCGTCAAAACCATAGTTAACGAGGTTCTCTTGAAGTAAGAAGATGCATATCCTCAATAATCCAAAATGAAATCGAGTAGAAATATTTTGAAAACTAAGCAAGATGTAAACATTCTGTAAAAGAGTTTAATATATATAGTTTCAAGAGTTCTTTCAAATGATCAACTAAACTAATTTTTTATTGCCAATGTCCTTTAAGCAATCTTGATTCAAGAAATTTTAAGGGCCTTCGTTGCTTTGGGGGCTCCTTTTGAGTTGAGGGCCCGAGTCAAAGTCCCCTACATGCTGCCCTCTCTCTCGGAGGGCACGACTTTCACCGTTGTTTGATCGGACCCTTAATATGGGAACTGATCTTTCTTTTCCTAGCACAAAGAGCACGGCGGCTACGATGACCCGAAATGCAACGAGGAGGAAATTCTGGAAAGGACAAAGCGAGGTATCGAGCAGGAACTCTGTGGTCTCAAACATACAACAGCAGGCGTGGCTGCAAGAATGGCAGCAGAAGCGACGCATGTTGAAAAGAAGAAAGAAAAGGAGATCGAAGCGCAAGCAAGTATCGCGAGAGTCATCAGTAGAACAAAATCTAAGGAAGGCGGCAAGCTGGGAAAATTCATGAAGAAATGTGCTAAGATTTGTAAGCAACCTTCTAAGGTAGGAAGAGTATCATTTGAACTCATACAAACATGAAACTACATCACTCTTGCCCCAAATGTGGTTCTAATAAAATGCTATAAAAACCGTGGCTATAAAGTATGCTGAAATCTGGCATGGGTGACTCCCCAATTAATAGTAAAAAAAAAACCCTGGACAGAATGATTTTCGACTTGACTTGGTCACAGACAAAATGCCTTGTGACTTGACACATGGCTTCCAAGAAATTACTTGTAAGTAAGTGGGGTGTGTGCTAATCATCCTTACTTGCAGCTGAGATCTAAGCCCAATTACGAAGGACGCAGCTCAACCTGATCGAGTCGAAGGCTTTCTAAGGGCGCCCATGGCAGCCACCTTATGACTCATGTCTGATCACGGAGCAGAGCTACGGTGCCTCGAATCAAATGCTAAAACCGTGGCTATTAAGTATGCTGAAATCTGGCATGGATGACTCCTCAGTTCATAGCAGAAAAAAGTTTAACTGGACAGCTCTCTCCTCCGCAGAGGCTTACATGAAGTTTCTAGTGAGGGAAAAGTGAGCGCGCAAGATCTTCCCATCACACCGCGCGCGCTCACTTTTATTCAGGAAACTTCATGTAAGTTATTTGTAAATACTTAAGGAGGCTCTGCGGAGGAGAGAGACTGGACAGAATGATTTTCGACTTGACTTGGTCACGGACAAAATGCCTTGTGACTTGACACTTGGCTTCCAAGAAATTACTTGTGACTTGGCATGGACTTGTAAAATAAGACTTGTTAACGACTCTTGCTAACATCCACGATTCCACGATTAAATCTTTAATTTTCATTTATAGACAAAACGTTAACCACGCGAAAAAGTGAAGTATACATCAAACAGCCAATGACTGTATCGTTGATATAAAGACGCAAAAACCAAAACCAAAAGAACTCATTGGAAAAGAATGCAAGAAAATTGTATTAATTTTATTATCAAATAGTAAATGTCATTGAACTCATTTCCGTACTGCAGCAATGCAGTATAAGTACGTCCAAATACAAAATTCCCTGCTAACTTAATACCTATAGCGTATAATATACAATAAATCATAATTGACTGACCAACTTTTTTTCCGAACAAAGCGCAACGGTTTTCAAAGAAGCTTCCAGATTTGAAAATTTTTCGCATTTCGCTTGTCGTGGAATTAAAGGCCTGATTCCACGAGGCGAAATTTTTCGACCGAAACGAAATTTCTCTTTGTCTTTTTACAATTGGTTCTGCTTGACAGCTCATGAAACAAAGAGAAATTTCGATTCGGTCGAAAAATTTCGCCTAGTGGAAAACCGCCTTAAGGCCTTATCATACCTTTGTTAATATCACTCCTCTAATTCGCCCCAGACTTCCTCAGCGAGCGCGAAATATTTATTCGCTAATTTCCCCTTCATCTCCGCCATGGCATGTTCGGCAGCACTGTTATACATATCCCCTGATTTCTGAGGATCCCGTTCAATCCCATGACCTCCGTCTCTATACATCTCTGCCACTCGTGCGTACAGTTTGGACAGAGGATCTGTTATTAACTGGACTGCGGTGGTTTCGGTTGTGTCGCTCTCCATTGATTGGATGACTTCTTCGTACAGACGCACTGCTTCTGACCACGACTGTGAACTAAAGGACACATAAAAATATGAAAAATTGAAATGAAAAATAAAAAGATTGGTCAACATCAAAACTTTACTCAAGACGACTTAGTAACCATACAAGTGTTGCAAAGATGTCTTCCAGCCTGGAATATATCTGTCTGTGCTTAGTACGTAAAACAATGTCAAGTGATTTGGCATCAAAGGTTTCAATTTTCCGAGGGAAGGTGCATGAATTTTCAGGAGGTGCAAAAATTCTCAGGGGAGGTGCAAAACGATCTCAGGGGAGGTGCGCACCTCCCCACACCTCCCCTCAAAATCCGGCCATGTTCCTCTCTAACTAAATACATAGATAGCTCTTCGTTGAACGCCAGGGAGAAGAGTTCAGAATTGACGGAACTATCCAGTTGAAACATAGGTAGTTAGCTGTCTCACCTTTCACTTGTGAGTCCAGCGCCAGTGTCAAAAGCACGTGCCATGTATAACATAGCTTCCCTATCACCATTTTCACTGGCAGTCTCCATACATTGAATCCCACGTTCTCTGTTTTCTTCATTGTCCTGGTGAATATAAAAAAACACCTCAATAAAATATGCTGCATGTTGTAAATATGGGTGTGAAAATTTTAGTACACACATGCCTGCAGGCTTAGCCGAGCCGTGCTCGCCTATTTTTCCACCCCTTTCCACAGAGGCGGAACCGTGCCCTATCCATGATTAAAACACCAGATCTCGAAACGGTGCACATCTGCCTAAAGTAAGAATTGTAAATTGGGGCAAACACAGATCTACATACCAGTCTTCAGCTGGCTTGAATGCCTTAACTAAGAGCGCTAGGGACTCCTAAACACAAACTCCGAAATTGTATACTGAAAAATATTTTTCAAATACAGCCGAACCTCATTAAACGGACACCTCTGTTACTGTAAGCGGTCACTCCTTTTAAGCGGACACAAACCTCTGATCCCAGTAGTAATTCAATGCTATTATTATATATAACTCCTGTTAAGCATACACCTCCTTTAAACTCCTTTAACCAAGCACATTTGTGACGTCCCAACAGTGTCCGTTCAACTGTAGTTTTAAGTCATATACACTGAAATTTTTTTCAAAATCCTTACTATGAAAATGGTATGGATTTTCGTTGAAAATAGTATGGAAATCCAATGTTCATACTAATTGCAATTTGCATACCATGGATATAGTATGGAAATAGTATGGATATACTATGGATTTAGTGATCCATTCGCAAATTCCAAAGTATCAATTTCACTATATTTTTCCAGTGATACCTTAATTGTCGCAAGTCAGCAATACAAAACATATTAGGGTTTTGTTTACAAAGGCAAAGAGAGGAGATGATGTCATGCTGGTGCAGTGTATATAAACCACTGAACTGCATAGAACTGGAACGCTATCCCCAACCGGAAATTTGATGGCCAATACCAGTCTTTTCATGCATACGAAGAGCGCTCAATCAGTCAATCATGTCATAAAAACGCGTGATCTTACGCGTGTCTGGAGGTAAGATTTGGCTTCAAGAAAAAGATAGGCAGTTTATCTGAGACTGAAGGTAGCGTTGCAGTTATATTCATTTCAAAGAATGTAAACTGCATTAAAAAATCATTCTCGGCCACTTGACCAGAACTCACCTCAGCAGACAATGAAGACAAGACGTCGTGCGGCAACTGAAGGTAAATTTGCGCCTGAATTTTCACGGCTTTTGGATAAAAACAAGAGGCAGCATGCTCCAAATGAAACGTGGCTGATTCAAGATCGGGCTCTTGATTCGTAAATCTTCCCATTTCGTTCAGTTCCGCCAGGACGAAATGAATCTAAGGAAAATAAAATTGATACATATGTGTGAAGAGGGCTTTGAGTTAGACCCAGTCAGCTCTATATATCTGGAGTAAAAATTTCAGTCATTCGGCCTATGAGGAACGATGGCAGAAATTGACTTCCATTGCATATTGGGGACTTTAAGACAAAGTAAAGTAATAAAATATTACCCTCACCAGTCGAGGTCATAGTAACGGTAGTATAACGCTAGTCGAGATTCAAGAGCACGATGATTACGTAAAACTGATCAAAGTTATATTAAAAATTTAACATCATGCAACTGAATGACGTGATGACGTCACACAAAGATGTATATGTACCAATATTACGTCACATCATGACGTCATCGTATATTTTTTCGAATGCCAAAAATCTTTTATTACTGAAAATCTTCTTTTATTAATAAAAGAAAAAAGATTTTTAATCTTCTTTTATCCAACTCTGGTTCAGACATACTATTTAGTATAAATGAAGTTCAGCATTCAGTTTATTTTGTCCATAAGGCCATGTTATAATGGCAATCTTAGATTATTAATTTACCTCTCCAAGAACGGATTGATTTTGAGAAAGTTTTCGTAGAAGTTTGGCCATTGCGAGGGTTTCAATTGATACAGATGATGATCTGTGAGAATACGCGCCCGAACCAAAGAAATAGTCTTCACCTCCGCTCCTATCATCCTAAAACAATAATAAAATTCTAAAATAAAGAACAACTAGAAATATACTTTTCATGTTCCTTAAACATTACCAACTGTTGGAAAGAGTAATTATAAAATAACATGTATATAACGCGTGCTCTGATTGGTCGAAACCCGTGTTTGGATCAAGCCATCCAAACACGGAAATTTAAAGTGAAAGTTATTTAAAGTGAAACTTTAACACGGAAAGCTGTTATTTTATAAAGCAATTACTTTCTGGTTTCCGTGTTTGGATGGCCTGATGCCCTGATCCAAAAACTTGGGAATGTTGCTCAAGTTAAGAAAAGCGCGCAAAATCACTCGCCTTCGGCTCGTGTTGCGCGCGCTTATCTTAACTCTCGCAACATTCCCGCGTGTTTGGATCAGGCCATCCAAACTGACGGAAACCATAAAGTAATTGTATATTCGGCAGATGTGCTCTAATAAAAAGCTGGCTTGGACTATCAAAGTTTCTGTGATCACATTAGGAATTTTGCATAGGTAAAGTTTTGAAGGATTTGCAAGAACTGTTTGAAGGAACTGACAGTGTTAAACAATGAGTCATTTCCCTTATTATAACACTTCACAGAAACTTTGATAGTGTAAACCAGCCTTAAGGCTCGGTCACATTTGAACTGCGCCCTTGCAATTCAGAGCTCTGCTCTGCATTGAATTTTTTCGCATTATTATTATGATTATATTCATATTTAACCAGGATACTCACATCACCGAAATGCTTTTCTGTGGGGTCATTGCTTTGCATTGTTTTAACTTGCTTTGCACTCATTTGTATTTAATTGCATTGCATCGCTTTACTTTACTCTGCTATGCATTGAATTGAATTGTATAGCTTTGCATTGCATACCATTGCACTGAATACACCCTTCTGGAAAATACTCAGCCTTGGCTATAGAGCCTCGTTTTCATGATTGAAATATTGGGTTACAGATGGACATATTGACGAAATCAAACAGTTATACTGGATAGTGTATAAGACCTTTATATAATTAGGTCAACCCCGAAAACGAAGCTCTATTGCCAGGTCTAAGTACTTTCGAGGTACTACATTCGAGGTACTACTTTCGAGGTACTACTTTCGAGGTACTACTTTCGAGGTACTATTGCTAGATTTTCTTTACAGTACATACCCCACTACTGTCTCCAAAATTTGAAGAAGATTCGGACGAGTCGCTCATGGAATCCGACTCTATTGATGACGCAGACAGAGGGGGCGAATGAGGTGAGTTGGGGCTATTGGGGGAATAAGACGAACAAGGTGAATATGGAGGAGAGGATAGTGGGGGATCATCAGAGGCAGATACTGAGAGACAGGCGATATCTTTACTCAAAGTAAGCGAGTTTGTCAATAGTTGATCTTGGTTTTCTATCCTCTTCATCTCGAGGTCGCTCAAGTCGAAAGGTGACAGGCCCATTGATTCACAAATCCTAATTGAGGAAAACATGCGAAAAAGGTCCTTTTAATTAAAATATTTCACACGTGGAGTGGCTCAATGTAACTACTATGGGCTCGGACCGGGCCTCCAACCCCAACGGGCCAAATGGGGCCCCCAGACTCAGGCTGTAGAGCAAAAACATTTGCCAGGGCCTCTGATAGGTCACAATGTCGTTTTCTGACCATCAGAATTCTGTAAAATCTCTCCCCAAAGTCTGGGAAATGGCATTTCAGAGAGCCTAGATTCAAACATTTTCTGGGTGAGCACGCCCTTGACGTGGTATGGGGCTGCCCGCAGGCTGGCCCTTGACCCCTAGAAAACTCGTGCATATACGGCGATCAACTCGTGCCTTTGGCACTTCTACTAGGGTAGCCTTCGAACATTTTGAACTGTGGGCCCCCTGATAAATATAACGTTACGCCACCACTGCTTTAACCAACTGTAGCCCTTATACGTACTTATTACAACGATGTGAATTGAAGAACAACGCCATTCCTTTCGTCCCAAGATTTGCGTCTCCATATTCCTTCAGATTTGTACTATGAACCTGAGGGTCTGTGTACAGGTCTCCAACACCTGGCCAAACAAATAAAAATAGAATAAAAAGTGAAAATTTTGGGCCATTGTACAGGCCACTACACAAAAACATCTGAAAAAGATTTTCCTTCTTCAAAATCAAACACATTTAGGAGAAACAATTCACCAAATAAATTTATTGTACAGAAAAAAAGTACCTTGAATATCAACGACCATATGTTTGTGATTGGATCGTTCAAATGTAAAATGACTGAACGCCTGAACAAAAGATGATTTGATGAAGATGAACCACTTCATAAGGTCACGTTACAACATCTTCATTTTAAAATTACTTTTCGTCCTCCATTTAGCCCCTCCCCCCCCCTGTGGGGAGTGGGGGCTTTCTTCCAGTGGTTCTAGGGGTTTATCAGAATTCAGAAGGGGGGCTCAATAGAGGTTGGGAAGGCTAAAAAAGATTTCCGGTAATTTTTCCCCAGGAAACGAGAATTTTTTTGAGGCCAGGACAGACTAGACGAGCTTCGGATGTAACAATTTTTGAATGTAACAATTTTACTGCATAAATTGAATGTACTTTTTGGATTTTAACTACTAGGTCTACCGGACTGGTTGGTTTTAAAAAGGTCTTTCAATGCTGAGCTTTCATAAGTGAAATTTGTCTTGAAAATGTAAAAATAGGCTAACAGGTTACTAAAGACTTTAGACATCAGTCCAGATGGAAAATAAAATTTACCCAGTTAAAAACATGTTTTTAAATTTTCGTGAAATGGTTAAGCAATGGCAGCTCCACCCCCCCCCCCCAAGAAATATATGCAAGAAATATATGTAAGATAATAGTAACTTATTAGTAGATATAAGATAATAGTAAAATTACATTTTTTGCCCAACCCCATGACAAAAAATTAGTAAGGGAATTTGCCAGTTTTGATTGGTCAGGGAATATGCACCAAGGTTGCCCAAAAATCCCCCCCCCCTTCCTGTAGGCCTATGGGTGGAGCATGATAGCAGGTTAGGAATTCCCTGGCACCAATACCATTCTGACCAACATAGCTATTCATTAATTATTACTATTTATTTATTTACAATTTAAAAATTTTTACATTAACATTTGTGCGAGTAATTAATTTGCTCCCTCCCTTCTTTGGTTTCTTTTCCCATCCTTGATCCACACTTGGCTGCCTATGTCTTCTTCTCCTTTTCTGGGATTTTTGATTTTCTTCGACAAATCATAAAATAACAAAGACCAAGAAACATACAAACGAGAACTACAATCACCGCCAACACAAACAAAAACACGTCAAACATATAGAACTGGCACAACTGCATATCATAAGCACTGCTCATTAGATGTTGTGCTCCTTGATGCTTTAAAGCGTACTCAATCCAGTACGCACCTTCCTCGGCAGGGCTTTGACGCCTGTCTCGGAGCAACCTAGAAATATGCTTTGCATTGTCCTTGTACTTCATGTTGTTTGCCACTTCAATTATGCTTCTGGTTATATCCTCAGATTTTATGACATTTTTGTCCAAGCTTACACCAAGTTCTTTGATTTTGACAAGCCATGCTTGTTTATGCTGGTCACCAAACAATGGTATCACTACCATTGGCACAGAATGGTACACACTCTCCAGAAAACTGTTTAAACCACCATGGGTGAGAAACAATTTGGTGGAAGGGTGTCCAAGTAGATCGTTCTGCGGAAACCAAGTGACGATTTTTATGTTTGGGCTTATGTTTTCAGGAAGGTAACCAACCTGCCTCCATAACACATAAAAAGGCAATTTCCCCAGAGCATTTGCCAGCGTTTCAATAAAATCTGGTCGATTATTTGAGAGAGTTGTACCAAAAGAAACGACTACCACTTGTTTACTATCTGTCATAAACGTTTCAAGATCGTCAGGAAGTTTACCAGCAACTTCTGGTAAAACAGGCCCGATGACTTTTACATTGGGCGTGAGAGGTCTCGGGTACTCAAAGGCAAAATCGTGTGGAATCAAAGCAATTCCACTCGGCTTTATTGTGTCCACAACAGCTTTTGAGGCATATTTTTCCAATGATACTTGGGAGACCATTTTGAAAAATGCGTTATTTATGCTGCGGGTAACTAGAAAAACCATAAAACTTTTCAACCGATTTATAAATGAAAATGCATCAGGGGAGTCTGGCGTGGATTCCAGCGGGAGGTAGGCAATAGGGATATTGTAATAGACTGCACCTAAAACCCCTGTAAAACCAACAGGTGCAATGTCTACCCGAGTAATATTCAATGCCGTTGCCAAGACAGAACAACAATAATTAGTAGTGTCACATAAAAGTAGGTCAACCGATTGTTTTATTTCAGAGATCAAGTGGTCGCTGCCAAAGAGATCATTGCAAAATTGTTGTAGCACGACACCGATATTATTCTGGATTTCTTTGAAAAGTTTAAATGCTCCAAAAACGCTATTAATATCATCCATTTTCATGAAGATTGAATGAAATTCCTCTATATCTTCATTGGTCACAGATGTATTGAAAATCTTGACATCGATGTCTGTGTAACGCTCTTTAGCACAGCTGGGTAAAACTTGTGTATATTTGTGCCCTTTTGCTTGAAGTTCTTTGCCAATTTTCCACAGAACTCTGTTATGGCTGACATAGTTTAAGTTCGCCATGCCTAGTACGTGACTACTCGAAGCTTTCTCGATATAAACCACGGCAATAAAACAACACAATAAAACAAAAACCCGACTAATTTGCAACAAAGAGTTTCCTTTAAAATTCGCCGCCATTTTGCCGCGAAAGTAAACACCTCTGAGTAAACACTAAACACTCTACACAAATACTCCGCCCGGAAATATTACTGGTTATGGGTTATTCCCGGGGGGTACGCAGAACTAAGGACGAGAAAGAACTTTGAAAGGTTATATGGTTTATATTTAAAGGGGAATAATTTAATAATTGAGAATTATTTGAATTTTTATAGCATGTTAATAACTTATAGAACCTTTCTATTTTATAACAATGGTAGTATAAAAACTTTTACGTTACACAATACCAGTATTTTCAATACCAATAGACCGAAATATTTTGAGTTTTTCATATTTGCAATTTGCAAGGTAAGGTAAAAAATTGCAATCAAGTTAGGAACTCAAAAGAGGAATGCTCGATGTACAGTAGTCTACATGTAAAATTTGTGTGATTAACCCATTAAGCTGCAGATCTTCCCCATTGACAAGTAAAATCGTCTGGCATTAGACAAGTATAAAAAATGAAGTGCACTGGGGGTGCATTGTGGCTCAATGGGTTTAATTCCCCCTCTCCCTCCCATGGTTCCTTTCTCCACCCTTGACCCGTCTTTCTAGGCCCCCTATGTCATCTTCTCTTTTTCTGGCATTTTTGATTTTCTTCGACAAATCATAAAATAACAAAGACCAAGAAACATACAAACAAGAACTACAATCACCGCCAACACAAACAAAAACACGTCAAACATATAGAACTGGCACAACTGCATATCATAAGCACTGCTCATTAGATGCTGTGCCCCTTGATGCTTTAAAGCGTACTCAATCCAGTATGCGCCTTCTTCGGCAGGGCTTTGACGCCTGTCTCGGAGCAACCTAGAAATATGCTTTGCATTGTCCTTGTACTTCATGTTGTTTGCCACTTCAATTATGCTTCTGGTTATATCCTCAGATTTTATGACATTTTTGTCCAGGCTTACACCAAGTTCTTTAATTTTGACAAGCCATGCTTGTTTATGCTGGTCGCCGAACAATGGTATCACTACCATTGGCACAGCATGGTACATGCTCTCCAGAAAACTGTTTAAACCACCATGTGTGAGAAACACTTTGGTGGAAGAGTGTCCGAGTAGATTGTTCTGCGGAAACCAAGTGACGATTTTTATGTTTGGGCTTATTTTTTCAGGAAGGTAACCAAACTGCCTCCATAACACATAAAAAGGCAATTTCCCCAGAGCATCTGCCAACATTTCAATAAAATCTGGTCGATAGTTTGAGAGAGTTGTACCAAAAGAGACGACCACCACTTGTTTACTGTCCGTCATAAACGTTTCAAGATTGCCAGGAAGTTTACCAGCAACTTCTGGTAAAACAGGCCCGATCATTTTTACATTGGGTGTGAGAGGTCTCGGGTACTCAAGGGCAAAATCATGTGGAATTAAAGAAATTACACTTGACTTTGTTGTGTCCACAACAGCTTTCGAGGCATATTTTTCCAACGATTCCTGAGAGCCCATTTTGGAAAATGTGGAACTTACGCTGCGAATAGCTACAAAAACCATAAAACTTTTCAACCGATTTATAAATGAGAATGCATCAGGGGAGTCTGGTGTGGATTCCAGCGGGAGGTAGGATATAGGGGTATTGTAAATAACTGCACCAAAAACCCCTGCAAAACCAACGAGTGCAACATCTACCCAAGTAATATTCAATGCTGTTGCCAAGACAGGACAACAAAAATTAGTAGTGTCACATAAAAGCAGGTCAACTGATTGTTTTATTTCAGAGATTAAGTGGTCACTGCCAAAGAGATCATTGCAAAATTGTTTTACCATGACACCTATCTTATTCTGCATTTCTTTGAAAAGTTTAAATGTTCCAAAAACGCTATTAATATCATCCATTTTCATTAGGATTAAATGGGATTCCTCTATAGCTTCATTGGTCACAGAAGTATTGAAAAGGGCCATTCCATTTAATATCTACATCCCCCTGTCGACGACGTCTTCGGAGGGGTCCTGAAAATTTGTATTTCTTAGGGGTTCTAAAAATGGTAATTTCCGAAGGGAACAAAAAAATCGCATTTTCTTAAGGGTTTTCGCTAATCAGCGAAATTTCCGAGCCCTTCAGCAAATAG